GCAGGAGCAATATTCATATCAGATAAAATAGACTTTAAAATAAAGAATGTTACAAGAGACAAGGAAGGACACTACGTAATGATAAAGGGATCAATCCAAGAAGAAGATATAACAATTATAAATATATATGCACCCAACATAGGAGCACCTCAATACATAAGGCAACTGCTAACAGCTATAAAAGAGGAAATCGACAGTAACACAATCATAGTGGGGGACTTTAACACCTCACTTACACCAATGGACAGATCATCCAGAAAGAAAATTAATAAGGAAACACAAGCTTTAAATGACACAATAGACCGGATAGATTTAACTGATATTTATAGGACATTCCATCCAAAAACAGCAGATCACACTTTCTTCTCAAGTGCACACGGAACATTCTCCAGGATAGATCACATCTTCGGTCACAAATCAAGCTGCAGTAAATTTATGAAAATTGAAATCATATCAAGCATCTTTTCTGACCACAACGCTATGAGATTAGAAATGAATTACAAGCGAAAAAACGTAAAAAACACAAACACATGGAGGCTAAACAATACGTTACTAAATAACCAAGATATCACTGAAGAAATCAAAGAGGAATTAAAAAATATCTAGAGACAAATGACAATGAAAACACGACGATCCAAAACCTATGGGATGCTGCAAAAGCAGTTCTAAGGGGGAAGTTTATAGCGATACAAGCCCACCTCCAGAAACAAGAAAAATCCCAAATAAACAATCTAACCTTACACCTAAAGGAACTAGAGAAAGAAGAACAAACAAAACCCAAAGTTAGCAGAAGGAAAGATTTCATAAAGATCAGAGCAGAAATAAATGCAATAGAAAAAAAGAAAACAAGAGCAAAGATCAATAAAACTAAAAGCTGGTTCTTTGAGAAGATAAACAAAACTGATAAACCACTAGCCAGATGCATCGAGAAAAAGAGGGAGAGGACTCAAATCAATAAAATTAGAAATGAAAAAAGAGAAGTAACAACAGACACTGCAGAAATACAAAGCATCCTAAGAGACTACTACAAGCAACTATATGCCAATAAAATGGACAACCTGGAAGAAATGGACAAATTCTTAGAAAGAGATAACCTTCCGATACTGCACCAGGAAGAAATAGAAAATATGAACAGACCAATCACAAGTAATGAAATTGAAACTGTGATTAAACATCTTCCAACAAACAAAAGTCCAGGACCAGATGGCTTCCCAGGTGAATTCTATCAAACATTTAGAGAAGAGCTAACACCCATCCTTCTCTAACTCTTCCAAAAAATTGCGGAGGAAGGAACATTCCCAAACTCATTCTATGAGGCCACCATCACCCTGATACCAAAACCAGACAAAGATACTACAAAAAAAGAAAATTACAGACCAATATCACTGATGAATATAGATGCAAAAATCCTCAACAAACTACTAGCAAACAGAATCCAACAACACATTAAAAGCATCCTACACCATGATCAAGTGGGATTTATCCCAGGGATGCAAGGATTCTTCAATATATGCAAATGAATCAATGTGATACACCATATTAACAAACTGAAGAATGAAAACCATATGATTATCTCAATAGATGCAGAAAAAGCTTTTGACAAAATTCAACACCCGTTTATGTTAAAAACTCTCCAGAAAGTGGGCATAGAGGGAACCTACCTCAACATAATAAAGGCTATCTACGACAAACCCACAGCAAACATCATTCTCAATGGTGAAAAACTGAAAGCATTTCCTCTAAGATCAGGAACGAGACAAGGATGTCCACTCTCGTCACTATTATTCAACGTAGTCTTGGAAGTCCTAGCCACGGCAATCAGAGAAGAAAAAGAAATAAAAAGAATACAAATTGCGGGCTTCCCTGGTGGCGCAGTGGTTGAGAGTCCGCCTGCCGATGTAGGGGACACGAGTTCGTGCCCCGGTCCGGGAAGATCCCACATGCCGCAGAGCAGCTGGGCCAATGAGCCATGGCTGCTGAGCCTGCACTCCACAACGGAAGAGGCCTGTGTACCGCAAAAAAAAAAAAAAAAAAAAAAAAAAAATGGAAAAAAAAAAAGAAAACTGTCACTGTTTGCAGATGACGTGGTACTATACATAGAAAATCCTAAAGATGCCACCAGAAAACTACTAGAGCTAATCAATGAATTTGGTAAAGTTGCAGGATACAAAATTAATGTACAGAAGTCTCTTGCATTCCTATACACTAAAAATGAAAAATCTAATGCCATTATTCAGTGGCATTTACCACTGCCACAGAAAGAATAAAATACCTAGGAATAAACCTACCTAGGGAGACAAAAGACCTATATGCAGAAAACTATAAGACACTGATGAAAGAAATTAAAGATGATACCAACAGATGGAGAGATATACCATGCTCTTGGATTGGAAGAATCAACATTGTGAAAATGACTATACTACCCAAAGCAATCTACGGATTCAATGCAATCCCTATCAAATTACCAATGGCATTTTTTATGGAACTAGAACAAAAAATGTTAAAATTTGTATGGAGACACAAAAGACCCTGAATAGCCAAAGCAGTCTTGAGGGAAAAAAACGGAGCTGGAGGAATCAGACTCCCTCACTTCAGACTACACTACAAAGCTACAGTAATCAAGACAATATGGTACTGGCACAGAAACAGAAACACAGATCAATGGAACAAGATAGAAAGCCCAAAGATAAATGCATGCACCTACGGTCAACTAATCTATGACAAAGGAGGCAAGGATATACAATGGAGAAACATAGCCTCTTCAATAAGTGGTGCTGGGAAAACTGGACAGCTACATGCAAAAGAATGAAATTCGAACACTCCCTAACACCATACAGAAAAATAAACTCAAAATGGATTCGAGACCTAAATGTAAGACCGGACACTATAAAACTCTTAGAGGAAAACACAGGAAGAACACTCTTTGACATAAATCACAGCAAGATCTTTTTTGATCCACCTCCTAGAGTAATGGAAATAAAAACAAAAATAAACACATGGGACCTAATGAAACTTCAAAACTTTTGCACGGCAAAGGAAACCATAAACAAGACGAAAAGACAACCCTCAGAATGGGAGAAATATTTGCAAACGAATCAACGGACAAAGGATTAATTTCCAAAATATATAAACAGCTCATGCAGCTCAATATTAAAAAACAACCCAATCCAAAAATGGGCAGAAGATTTAAATAGACATTTCTCCAAAGAAGACATACAGATGGCGAAGAAGCACATGAAAAGCTGCTCAACATCACTAATTATTAGAGAAATGCAAATTAAAACTACAATGAGGTATCACCTCATACCAGTTAGAATGGGCATCATCAGAAAATCTACAAACAACAAATGCGGGAGAGGGTTTGGAGAAAAGGGAACCCTCTTGCACTGTTGGTGGGAATGTAAACTGATACAGCCACTATGGAGAACAGTATGGAGGTTCCTTAAAAAACTAAAAATAGAATTACCATATGACCCAGCAATCCCACTACTGGGCATATACTCAGAGAAAACCATAATTCAAAATGACACATGCACCCCAATGTTCATTGCAGCACTATTTGTAATAGCCAAGTCATGGAAGCAACCTAAATGCCCATCGACGGACGAATGGATAAAGAAGATGTGGTACGTATATACAATGGAACATTACTCAGCCATAAAAAGGAACGAAATTGGGTCGTTTGTGGAGACGTGGATGGATCTAGAGACTGTCATACAGAGTGAAGTAAGTCAGAAAGAGAAAAAGAAATATCTTATATTAACGCATATATGTGGAACCTAGAAAAATGGTACAGGTGAACTGGTTTGCAAGGCAGAAATTGAGACACAGATGTAGAGAACAAACATATGGACACCAAGGGGGGAAAGCAGCAGGGGGTGGGTGTGGTGGTGGGATGAATTGGGGGATTGGGATTGACGTGTATACACTGATGTGTATAAAATTGATGACTAATAAGAACATGCTGTATAAAAAAATAAATAAAATTCAAAAATTGAATGAAAAAACAAACAAAAACCCCCTCACAGTAAAAACAAAAAAACCACAACAAACTCAGCAAGTTTATCAAAGCAGAAAGCAGGATAGAAGATGAAGGCACAGGGCCTATGTTGCCCTTGGGTATATATCTGGAGGATAGTAATTGCGAATAAATGTTCTCTGAATTATTTTGTGTGGATGAAACATAAGGAATGACAGGAGCTTCTATTGTGCAAATAATCAAACACTCCTTGAAAACCGTACTTATTTAAGAAGTGGAAAAAAAGAAAACAGAATCAGAGCCCAGTTCAACGCTCCACCATCACAGAAACCATGTATGGGGTCTACGGGAAGCACCCCACACACACTGACCTATTTAGTCCTCACAACAGCTCGATGAGTTGGTCCTGTTACCTGCCTCGAAAGAGAGAGAAAACTGAGGTGCACAGAGATGGAATTCCATGTCCCGTGTTCTTCCTCACTATTCCTTACTGCCTGCCCGATTAAAATCACTTACTTATGGCTGAATTATAAAAGTCTCTCTAAAGCATATATACATGCTGTAATTCTCAAAGCCCCACAGTTTCCCAGAAAGTACTCCAGGGAGATAATCACCTTTGAAAAGGTAGCTTATTTCCTATAGCATGATTCCATCATTAAGACACTTAAAATTCATGTTTCCCTACACAAACCGCTCACATGCTAAACAAACCACTTATTTTTTTTCAGATTTATGTGGTTATCAGTGGATAAAATTGTGGTACCTGAGAAAGTCTGAATCCAGAAATCTATCTGGGTAAGTTATTAAATCACAGGCACACAAAAACAAACAAACAAACCAACCAACCAAACCAGGTATCTGATGAAAATATCTGTTGAAAATCCCTGAAGTAAAAAATATGCTCTGTTGGGGGAAAAAGGATCAACCCTTTCAACCAATTTTAAAAAAACAATCAAATTGAAAGACATTAAACTTAGGTGCCGTATTAAAAGAATATGTGTCAATGCTCTGAAGTGCATACCTGAGGTATGATTGACATTTTCTTCCTTAAATCGTGAAGTCCAATTTCAGTTGTCAAGATCTTATCAATCCAAATTTTACCTTCAGGTTCTGACAGTCTAAAAAGGGCAGCGATGAGGGAACTTTTTCCAGCTCCTGTTCTTCCCACAATGCCAACCTGTAAAGAGATACAGGAGGGATTAAGAATTCACAATATGCAACAAACCTAGGAAAACCCTTGGTTGTTGAAGATGAATTTTAAAAGTTCTGTAGACAGTGTAGTCTGTAAGTTTCTCAACTGTGGCACTGTTGAAATTTTGGGAAAGATAATTCTTCGTTGGGGAATGGGGGATGCCCTGTGTATTCTAGGGTATTTAGCAGTATCCCTGGATTCTGCCCACTAGATACCAGGAGCATCCCCGAGATTGCAGCAACCAAAAACGTCAGACACTGACAAATGTCCCCGGTTAAGAACCCCTGGTCAAGGAAGAATTAAAAATAACAGAATCAGTCTACTGGCAGTGAAACAACAGCAGTTTCCCATGTGTTCAATTAGCAGTCAGCTTTTAAATGAGTTGTATTCCTAGTGTCTGGCTATTCCGAACATTGAGAATTATGTGAGTAATTTTACAGAGATGTCAACGAGTCAAGTAAGAAGGATTATACACAAACAAGAATTCAGGATCCCAGATTCTATCATTTAAGAGGAAGTATTCTTTGGCAGACAAACAAAATCACTTCCTGATAAGAAATACCTTAATAATGCTCTATCTTGAAAGGAAACACCTTAAAGTTGTAAAATGCAGGTCTCAGTGTCTTAAAAGGCAGTACCCAGTAGGCAAAATACACATAATGAGATCAACAACAACACAAATAACATTTGCTATTTATATGGGACCTTTCATCTGAGCACTTCAAAAGGCATTTTACAAACCAATTAATACTTCTAATTAAACCTTGGAAAGATACATGTCATGTATCGGTCAAGTTATTAAAATCAAAGCAGAGAGAAATTAAGTGCATTAACAATAAGATCAAAGAATCAATATAATGCAGGTAAAATGCTGGTCAGGAATGAAACTGTATTGTATAAACTGGATTTTAGCTGTCTGAATTCAAACATGTATGCAGAAACTGGCCTTTTTTTTTTTTTTTTTTTTTACCAATGAGCTTCCCAGCTACAAATTCCCTGGTGGGAGCTTCCCAAGAGGTGATTTCATCTCTATTTATAAATCTAAATACAGATGGGAGCCTAAGATATGCTTTCAATCATTTGTAAATTAATTCAGTAAATTTTACAAACTCATGGCTTTCAAGAGAGGAGAACTAAACCCCTCTGAGCACTGATTATACAACGGTAACTTGATATATTTTCTCATTAAATACCTCCAAAGTTTTGAATCTTAGTCTGTAAAAACAATAATCGAATTTCAAAATAAAAGTTATCTTTATAGAGATTAACTGAAAGAAAAGTGGCTTTAGTTGATTTATATTTGTAGCCATTTTGTATGATATGGTAAATCCTAATTTATATAATATAGATGGGACACTTTCTGCATATAAGCAGGTCCTAGAGGGTATATATACATATGGGTCATTTGTCCTGTGTACATGCAGGTTTTGAACATACTATGGATTTGGTTCCAGACCACCACAAAAATGGGAATATATCGCAAAATAAAGCAAGTCATGTGAATATTTTTCTTCCTCTGTGCATACAAAAGTTATGTTTATACTATACTGTAGCATACTAAATGTACAACAGAATTATGTCTAAAGAAGGATGTACATACTTAATGTCAAATACTTGACTGCTAAAAAGGGCTAACCATCATCTGGGCCTTCACTGGGTTGTAGTAAGCTTAAGAACACTGATCACAGCTCACCATAACAAATATAATTATAATGAAAAGGTTTAAAATACTGCAAGAATTACCAAACAGTGACAAAGAGACACGAAGTGAGCAAATGTTGTAGGAAAAATGGTGCTGATGGACATGCTCAATGCAGGGTTGCAACAAATGTTCGACTTGTTACTTAAAAAAAAAAACACACACACGCAAAAAACCCCAAAGAAACAGCGGTATGCCTGTATTTCTGGGCGTACTCATATGTAAATCAGCACACATCAGAACACAGGTGAGAACTGTGTCTGTGAGAATGTGTGTATATTCCTATGCTATTAGCTGTACTGAAACTGATCCATCTATGCAAACTGGAACATTTGTAGACTCCTGGTAAACGGCGGAGATAGGCAGTGGCACCGAAGGCTGCTTACGGCCACAGGAATGGAAGTACAACACTCCAGTGAGGAGAGTAAGAAAAAAGCAACTCAGAGAAAACCCGGCTTAGGCTATTGCTACCATTCAGTTATCAAAACTATAATCTGAAAGTCTTTTCCAGGTCACCAAAGGGTTTTACCAATTGCCTGAGGAGAGTGTCACCATTACCAGTTAAGTTTACATTCCTAAAGGCAAAGACACTTGGAGAAAATCTTTACTGGGAGGTCTCCCTCAAAAGCGATGCTGAATCAGTAGGTCTGGGTGGGCCTGAGATTCTGCATTTCAAATATGCTCCAGGCGATGCAGGTGCTGCTGGCCCAGGCACCACAGTCTGAGTCACAAGGAATTAGGAAGCCTGCAGGGGAAGTGGGACAATCTGGGAGTGAGGGGAGGGGTTGCCGAGGAAATATTATGTAAAAGAGGAGAAAATGTAGCAAACTGATATTTTTGCACATTATAGCAAGGTCTAGTAAGCATCTGTAAGGATGTATTATTCAAGTAATAGCTCTGAGCAAGAAAAAAAAAATAACAAACCAAAATCAATCCACCTCTAGAGCTAGAAAAGGCTTGAAAATGGCCCAGTACTCTCTAAAATGATCAAATCAACCACAAAATCATCTAAATGAAAAACGCAGCCAGTGTTCAGAATCTAACCAGGAAGCCTAGGGTGCTATTTACCTCATTTTGGGTCTTTATTTTTACTTGCTATTTCTTCCATGAATTAGAAACCTGCATAGTGCCTATTAATTTTTCCCATTTACTCGAACTTCCAGAAATTGGGACAGCAGAGGAAAGGATGGAAAGAGAATAAAGCTCCACTTCTGCTGGCCTGGTTCACTCCCACATCCTCCCCTGCAGCAGCCTCTCTCAATCAAATCCAACACCAAAGGGGTGTCCCAGAGCAACAGGGGCTGGGGCAGGTGTGCAGGAGAGGGAAGCTGGGATGTACACAGACGGAGTGAAATGGCTTCACGACTATTCTACCCAGATATAATCTCCAAACACAGAAATGGAGCTAACGGTGACACTGTGAGTGGATCAAGACACAAATAAAAAGTCACGTTACTACAGTTATTAATTCTGTCTCCAGATTCAATTTTCCCACAAACATTTTCAAGCTCAGCTAATCCTATGACTTGGGGATTTTAAGATAGAAGAATACACATATGTTATGTTCCTAAGTTCTACTGCAGAGTTTCTTAGATAAATTTCCCCCAAAGCCAGAAAATATGAATTAAGACATGTGCAAATTAACAGAATTACGTATCAAACAGGAAATATGAGGGACACATTGTCAGTGAGTAAGCAAACATCGCCTACAGAGTTCTCAGGGACAGGATTGCATCAAGAGCTGCAGTGAATGTTTCCTCGATACAGCAATCCTCACCTCCTTCCCAACCTATGGTGAAACTGGAAATAATTAGAAGCCAGCTTTTGCCGTGTGACTAACTGAAGCTGCTCCCTGGGTATCATTTGGGCATTAAGTTGAATATTCTTTCCCATCACAAGGGTATCATTCATTAAATTATGGCTATAGTCCGCTAGATGGGTCTGTGGTGGAAAGAGTTTCAAAGAGCAGTTCTTAAAGTATTTAACACTCTAGGTAATCAGTCGTTTACGCAGTTGTCTCGTGTGTGTATTTTGGTTACTGGTTGCTCACACCTGTACATGTTACTCACTCACTCTCCCAGCCAGCAGTTCCTTAGCACCCTATCTGTGCCCTGTAGAATGCCAATTTTGGGGGAACAAGAGATGAAAACAAGATGCTCTCCGATCTTAAGGAGCCTCAGGGTTCTGTGAGATACAGACCCACCAATACAAAGCATGCCACAGATGCCACCGGTTAACTGTGGTCAAATACAGATAACATAAAATTTACCAACGGAACCATTTTTAAGTGGACAGTTTAGTGATTAAGTACATTCATATTCTTGTCCCTCCAGAATATTTTCTCCCTTGTAACAAAGAAACTCTGTACCCATTAAACAACAACACCCAACTCCCCTTACCCAGTCTCTGGTGACCACCATCCTACTTCCTGCCTTCATGGATTTGACTACTCTAGGAACCTCATATAAGTGGAATCATACAGTATCTGTTCCCTTTATGTCTGACTTACTTCATTCAACCTGATGTCCTCAAGGTTTATCCATAGACTGGAATTTTACTCCTTTCTAAGGCTGAATAATATTTCATTGTTAAGGATATAGCACATTTGTTTACCCATTCATCTGTTACTTTCATTATGTAAAAGACGCTGAGGAAGAATAGAGGGTCTCCGAGAAGCAGACGAATGAGACTTGACTCAGAAAATGAGGAGACTTTCACCAGCCACAGGACAGAAGGGAAGGGTCTCTGAGGTCGAGGGGCAGTGTGCGCACTGGAAGCAGGGAGGACATGATACACTGGGAGAACCTACACACGACCCGAGTGCAGGGGGTGTATGTACATCAGGACTTGAAGCTGGAGGGGCAGGTGCGCGGAGCTTCCTGCCACCATGTCTGTTCTCATTTAGCCTCTTTTTCAAGAGCTTGCCCTGGTCCCGCCCGAGGGACTGATCTAATCAGCGTCCACACAGCAACACAAAAAGAGGCAAATGGCTACAACAAACCTTTTCTCTTGATTTAATGAGTGCTGTCAGGTGCTTCAATACCAGAGGCCCATCTAAGCTGTATGAGAAGTTCACATTGTCAAAGACGACCACTCCTTCCTGGGGCCAGGACGGTGGTGGGCGTTTCTGGTATTCCCAGGGTGCTTCTTTTTCCAGATCTGTATATTCAATCACCCTTTCTACTGAAATCATCTGAAAGATATGACATCACATGAGTTAGGAACAGAGGGTCTTGTTTATGGATGTTCAGAGACTGTGAATGAGATGCTCTGCATTTATGTCATTATATCTGCTTTTATGTAATGAAGAATATCTGAGGTCTTAACCCCCCAAAAGACAGAAGTAGTAGTTTGACGAGGACGCTCATGATTTGTAAACTTGTTCATTGTCTTGTAACACTTTTGTTACGGCTACTTTCTTCAACATTATATTAAAACAAAAAGAACTAGAAAAATGAATACTATGATTTCACTGATCTAATTTTTGCATATGAATTTTAAAAAACAGAGAATTTTGTCAATGAAAAGAATATGTATGGACGCCCACCAGTAAGCAGCATTTTGCTACAGAAGGGTCATCTGTTATAGATGAATAGAAATGCATAGTCAGTACACCTCATTTTAATAATTAGTTACTTTCTTCTCTGTTAGAGAGCAAAATAGAAAAGTTTCATTTTCATCATTTTTCTCCCTTTAGGAGAAACTGAAAATATTCGAAACAGCAGAGAATTTACATATTGACTAAGGCCTTCTAAACAACCATAACTTGATAGTACATTCAGAGAGAAGGGGCACCAATAAATTCAGGTGTTCAACACATACAAGGAAAAATTCTCAAATGGGGAGGGTGGGCAATAATTAAATTAAATGAATTAAACAAATAAACCTCAAAATACTAAATTCTCCTTTCACCAGGAATGAGGAATTACCCTAGCTTATATCTTCTCCAGGATTTCAGAACCTCCCTCCTACAGAGACATTTATTATATTTGAAGACAGCTTGTGATGAATATAAAACCTGCTGACATGGCATACATAAGACTGAGAAAAAGATGTATATATTTTATTTTAAATAAATTGTAAACAGATGGAGGAAGGATCTAACAAACCCTGTTAGCTATGATGTAAAAAAAAAAAAAAAAAAAAAAAGAGAGAAAAGTTTTAAAATTTTTTTTTTTTTACATAAGAATTGCCTTTATGTGATGTAACGACAAGGAGACCTGAATAGGCTAAAAGGTAAATGTTACCATATTTTCAACTTCGGCACTTTGCCTTACGCACCACTGGAACATCCCCATGAGCGTGAGGGCGTAGGACAGCGCCAGGCCAACCTGGCCGGCATCCAAAGCTAAATGGGGAAGAAGAAGGGGAATAACTTAGTTCCATTCTGAACCCTGAGTTGGGATCCTACTGTCTCTGTACCAAGACTTCTTTATAATATTTAAAACACTTGCACATAACAACAGCATTACTTATATTTTTACTACCTGTTGATTGAGACCATGATCCAACGAAAAGCAAAAAGAAAAAACAAACAAAGAAAAAAAACTATGAACTCAGAAAACTATTAAATAAGTTTATTAATCCCGACAGGATTGACATACACTTGACAGTATTATACAGGTGAGGAATCATGTCATCATTCAGGCTTTCGTCATTATGGTTTCAAGGACCATTATGTAATTTCACTTTGTATGCCCAACGCAGCCACAGTTGGAAACCACGAAAAACAAGTCAATAGGTTCTGAGAGCCAGTACTTTTAAATCTAAAAGACTGCTCTCATTGTCCCATCATTAAACACTATGATTCAGTGTTGTTACTATGGAATACTTAGGGATGGTGAATTCACGCCACACACACCATTACCTGCTCATCTGGTACCCGCACGGCAGAGGATACTGTTCTTTCCTACAGAGAATATTTCTCACCTCAGTACACCAGGAAGCTACAACCAAGAGATCCGAGGAGGCTGAATGCCATAGGCTTGACAAAAAGCTTAACAGCAAACTTGGTTCTCTCCTCCTAACACTAAGACGCTATCAGGAAGGTTCAGAAGGTCAGTTGCTAGAGTTGTATAGACTTCAACCCATTTAAGAAATATAAAAGGATCAAAGCCCTCAGCAAGACATCTCATTAGGGCTTCCCTGGTGGCGCAGTGGTTGAGAGTCCGCCTGCCGACGCAGGGGACACGGGTTTGTGCCCCGGTCCGGGAAGATCCCACATGCCGCAGAGCGGCTGGGCCCGTGAGCCACGGCCGCTGAGCCTGCGCGTCCGGAGCCTGTGCTCCGCAACGGGAGAGGCCACAACAGTGAGAGACCCGTGTACCGCACACACACAAAAAAGACATCTCATTAAAGGCCTCATCAAGACCCAAATGACTCCTCTACAAGGGCCACACTGGAAAACCACACGCTGCAAACACTTTAATACAATTCATTAGAACCAAATGGTATATGGGATTAGACAATGAGCCAAGAGTTTAAATTAATAACTGCAAACGAAGCTATAAATTGTAATCATAATACAAATAGTTATTCACATCTGTACTTACTTTTTGCCAGAACCAGGGACCCAAAGGCAACAACAATGACAAAGATGGCACAGATGGCATCCAGACGCACAGCGAACCATCGGGACGTAGTCAAAAACAAGAACCAAGCCTCTGGATTTGTGAAGTATAAGAAGCATAATGAATAAGCAGAAGTATCATGGAGGCTGCTTCTAATGAGGGAGAGCATTTTGCGCAGTTGAGCTACAACAGATTTTTACACAAGGTAGGACAGCAAAGTTACATACTCAAGCAACCTAGAGATCACGAAAAGCTAGGTTCTGACACAAGACAACGTATGGTATACATAGATATCAGTCCAGGGGCTTTGTGGGAAGAATGTACTAAAGTCTTCAACCCACAGGTTATAAACAGAATTTCGATCCTAATCCTGAACATAGAAAACTGGTCTCGTCGGTGTGTTTCTTACAGTTCTGGGCCTCAACATGAGGCTCATCCTCTCACAGGGCTGACTGTTCCTAGTTCTCTGCTGGCAGAGAGCGCAGCTCACACTGTTTCCAGAACCTTCTGCACTTACTACAGGGCCCTGCACAATGTTTATTCTTAGGAGCCAGTATCCAAACGACCATCAGCTAACAGGATCTGCATGTGGCTTTCAAAATGCCATTTTATCTTCAAAATACAATAAAGATTGGAAAGTTGGGCCAGGACTTTTTGACTTAGAGGGAATTCTGGGTGGCAAATCTGATAAGAGAGAAATTATTTTCCTTCTTCAGGTCTGCCACCCTGTGTGCTCTGAAAAGAGTCAGCAGGGGCTTCCCTGGTGGCGCAGTGGTTGAGAGTCCGCCTGCCGATGCAGGGGACACGGGTTCGTGCCCCGGGGCCGGGAGGATCCCACGTGCCGCAGAGCGGCTGGGCCCGTGAGCCATGGCCACTGAGCCTGCGCTCCGCAACGGGAGAGGCCACAGCAGTGAGGGGCCCACACACCGCCAAAAAAAAAAAGAGTCAGCAAATTACAGCCTGAGGGCCAAGAATGGCCACAACCTGCTTTTGTAAATAAAGCTTTACTGGAACACAGCCATTTGCTGATGTATTATTTTTGTCTGCTTTAGTGCGGTAACAAACAGCAAAGCTGGAATTCCCTGGTGGCGCAGTGGTTAAGAATCCGCCTGCCAAGGCAGGGAACACGGGTTCGAGCCCTGGTCCGGGGAGATCCCACATGCCACGGAGCAGCTGAGCCCGTGCGCCACGACTACCGAGCCCATGATCCTAGAGCCTGTGCTCCACAACGAGAGAAGCCACCACAAGAAGAAGCCTGCACACGGCAACAAAGTGTACCCTCGCTCTCTGCAACTAGAGAAAGCCCATGTGCAGCAAGGAACACCCAATGCAGCCAAAAATGAACAAACCAACAAACAAATAAATAAATTTTTGGACAATTCAATTATTAAAATAAATAAATAGCAAAGCTGAGTAGTTGCAACAGAGACCGTGTGGCTCTTTGCTTAAAAAAAATAAAATCTGTTGACACCCTCCCTAAACGGACAGAAGGCCACAGGGCACCTTGATGGAAGCACAATGCAAGCCAGTGAGGGGAGAAAAGCAGGGGTGTGATGGGGAAGAGGAGAGCGCAGAGGGGAGGCTGAGAGGAAGGGCTGGGGAGGCGCAGAGAGCGGTGTGGGCCGGCAAGGCCACCGGACGAGGACTCAAGCCTCAGAAGGCAGCACCTCCCATCCTCTGAAATCATGTCCAGAAACTTACAGACCTGAATGCAAGTCCTGGTGTGCATCGAACAGTTCCTGAAACCTCTCTTCGGCTTTGTACGCCCGGATGGTCCAGAGTCCTTGGAGAGATGATGATAAGTGGGAAAATACTGGGCTCCGAGCTGGGGAAGCAGAGACAGACAAACGACAGAGAAAGTCAGGGAGACTCGATGCAAAGAAATCCACTGCCTTCCAAGGGGCAACACCCAAGGGCTTCCTGGAGGAAGGGGGATGACGCCCCTCTTCGGGAGAAGATCCTCCATGTGACCCTCCAACTCTTGCTCACACTAAGCTTCACTTTTATGGCCTGGACATGAAAGATCTGACCTAGATTTAGATAATGAATCTCCATACTAACTCAATCATCAAGGTCCTCCTCAAACAGGGCCACATTCCAAATTCTTCCCTGACATCCCTCCAGGTAGAAATTACCTGGAGGTAATTACCTGTTCACTAATTTTTGGTTCAGTATCATTTTAAAATTTAATTCTCCGTCAGAGTCCCTCACCACGCTGAATTTTGATGAACTATCTGTGTGTCGTCTCCACCTAAGATTAGAAACTTAAGGGCTGGCACAGGACAGAGGCGAGATAAGTAAGGTGAACGGATAGTCTGCCATCTCCTTCCATCCTGGGAATTTTCCTACACCTATGCCAAGAGTCTCTTTGTGTGCCACAGAGCACCTGGGCATCACACGGCCCTTGTGCCCAGAGGACCCATGCAGTCAAGGGGTCTTTGAATAGTTTCGACTTCCGCTCTGGGAACCTGATGGATGTTTTTATAGCTGCCCTACTGGATACTTGAGGCATTTGGAGGCCACTGTGGTATGTGACACTGATGTCACTCTTTTAGAATCTGACAGCGGCCATTCTCTTTTTAGTGACTACGTATTGGTGTGGGGCCTCGTGTCCCATGACCGGCCATTTGTTTCCTGGCATCTTCTCTAAGAGCACACTGAACACGAGCACCACGGTCTGGCTCCCGCACATCAGGGAACAGGTGGGTTGTAGGTTGCTGGGCAGGGAGGACCCCTTTTGGTTTTCATTCCCCACCGTGAATGAGGCAACTTGCTTTCTTTGTGGGCAGATTCTGAGCCTGTGACCTTTCTGGGATGAGTGATAACTTGTGCTTTATCAGCAGGAAATACTGACATCACTTTGTTACCCGTGCATCTCCTAGAAAAGACATTAGTTCTACCATGATGAAATATTGTATTTTTAAGAAGAGTATTTATGGAGTAGATGCTCTGTGTGAGGAAGCATGTCATGAACAAGACAGAAACAGTCCCCTGTCCTCACGGTGCTCACATTCGTCCTCCTCGTGCTAAAATGCAAAGCTGCAGCTGACCCGCCACCAGCTCCATTTGCCTTAAGGGCCACATGGACTCACAGTGCCCATAATATCTAATTACCTAATGTTAACTTAGTGAGAAATTCCAGAAGACAGAGTCTGCAGAATTTCAGGGGTCTGGTCCATTACAGCATAAATGGAAGCCAGCCTGAGTTGCCATCTCAACCTGAGAGCCCCGGGTACTCACTTGTAGATTCAAGGCGTTTCACATCCCTTGACGTCTGTAAGAAATATCTCCGGAGAACAAAGAAAATGATGCCAAGGGGAACCAGGGGTATCGCAATCCAAGGAATCACCGAAACCGCCACACCCACCACACCAATCACTTGTAGAAATGTCTGGAAGAGTGAAAACAGATACAGTGGCCTCTTTATCCAGCATTCTCTTCAAAAATAACCTTTAATGGGTTGTTTTGTTAGGATTAAACTCCTTTCTTCGAAGGACATGTTGGAATGGTAAGGAATGCTTTCCCATCCAAAGAAAGAAGAGGGGCTTCCCTGGTGGCGCAGTGGTTGAGAGTCCGCCTGCCGACGCAGGGGACACGGGTTCGTACCCCGGTCTGGGAAGATCCCACATGCTGCGGAGCGGCTGGGCCCGTGAGCCATGGCCGCTGAGCCTGTGCGTCCAGAGCCTGTGCTCCGCAATGGGAGAGGCCACAACAGTGAGAAAAAAAAAAGAAAGAAAGAAGAAAATTATAGGTGTTGCTCATGATATTTATTGCACGCTTACCATGTGACAAAGTTTTTCTGAAAAATATTTATTTATTTGTTTATTTATGTATTTTTGGCTGCGTTGGGTCCTTGTTGCTGTGCACGGCTTTCTCTAGTTGCGGCGAGCAGGGGCTACTCTTCGTTGTGGTGCGCAGGCTTCTCATTGCAGTGGCTTCTCTTGTTGAGGAGCACAGGCTCTAGGTGCTCGCTCGGGCTTCAGTAGTTGTGGCTCACAGGCTCAGTAGTTGTGGCACAAGGGCTTAGTTGTTCTGCTTCATGTTGGATCATACCGGACCAGGGCTCAGACCCATGTCCCGTGCATTGGCAGGTGCATCCTTAACCATTGTGCCACCAGGGAAGTCTCACAAACACTCTTAATCTAAGCAAAAACTGGGATATACCAACAACATGAAAGGATGGTGATGGGAATTAAATGAGATACTGCACATAAAGTGCTTACCAGTTCATATATAACAAATATAAATTCTAACTCCCTTAATTGTGTTCTAGATTCAAGGAGCCAGGAGAGATGGGATGGTGTATTCATAGATTTATGGACCCAAAGAATCTTAAGAATCTCATGAGGTTGGACCCTGTCAGACAGTTCATTCTAAAGACTGGAACAGCTTAGTGCCAACCAAGGACGTATCGGAGCAGGTGCTATTTTTCCTAGGTGTGGTAATGATGTCACCTGTACCAAAGTGACTGTGGCTTTTCTCTGGCCACAGAGAAAACTTGAATGTGAGGTCTATTCTGTTTGAAGACACACTTTTAAAATAATATGAACAATAAACCTCATCCGTACTACAATTTCTGTCCCCTCTGTATTTTCTTCCCAACTCTAGGCCTTCCAAAGATTGATAACCTTAGGGGAATGGAGGCAAGTCACCACTTTTTGAGATGTTTCCTATTCTATATCCTTCTTTTATTTCAAACTTTGCTTCTTATTAGTGGAAACTTACTGCTCTGAAATTGCTGAGCATTTCTTGGAGACTAAGGGGAAAAAATGGTAGACCTCTGAAGCACCAAAGCAAACCTGATGAAGAAGTATATTCCAAACAGAAGATCAATTTGACATTTTCTCTTTCATGCACCATGAATTGGTGAGTTCATATCAATGAAAGTACAAAAGCTACATTTTGTAAACTAGTGAATCCCAGGAAATTTAACTGTGTCCACCCTAGGTCACCCTTCTTGGTGGAACGAAGCAGCCTTGTTAGGATGTCAGGATGACTCAGGCAGAAGACACTGTCACCACCACCTGCGGAAGTGAGGTCTAATGAGCACCTCTCATCCTCAGAAATGATGCTGTCCTGTGAACAGCTCTTTCTGACAAACCACACTATAAGCTAAGTGAATTGTTAATCGAGTACAGAAAAACAGTAAAGGAAAAAATAATAATAATAATGCTTTCTGGAAAATGTTAATGGTTTTGTTTAAAAATCTCCCCATTCAAAAAATGTGAAAACTAAGATAACTGCTGTATTGCTAGTGCCCATGGCAAATTTTTTCATAATACTGAAGAAATTCCACAATTCTCTAGATCTGGTTGACAAACAAATAAATGGTGGTTATTACCGCACCCTCCAAATTACCAATAATGGATGACATTTCATGAGGCTTGCCATGGGTCCCACCTCTCTAGTATTTCACAAGCATTACTAATTTCATTCTCATATCACATCTGAGTAGGAGAGATTATGCTTTCTGTTTACAAAGCTCAGAGAGGTTTGGGAGTTTGCTCGAAGTCAGAGAATTTACTCATTTTGTTCCCGAGCCTGTTCTTTTCATTTCTGCCTGATACAGTATCCCATATACAGATAAAACTCATAATAAAAAAATTAAGATCTAAGTATACTCCCCTTTTATAATTTTCCCCATTTATTTGCATTCTCTCCCATGCAGGGGCCAGTTCTAGTTTGTTTCCTAGCTAATTAGAGCCTGATCAGCTCATACAGCAGACTGATCATTAAAAGGTCTTAAAAATGATTGCTCATAGAACACACTAACATGTTTTAATAATCACTGTTTAAATTTTTTTTTAAAGTTTCATAAGAAAGCATAAAATACAACATGACTTAATTTTAATAAATACATAAACCCCAAGAACACACACATGAGGCTGAGGATTTTATAAGTTCAATGTATACACTTGGATTAAAGTTCCCCCAGGAAGTCTCTAAGTCTAGAATTAACACTATATTCTAATATGGCAGACTTTAACATATTCCTTTCACAAGCACAGTGTGAAATACGAGGGCCTGTTTGCCTGTTTGGCATTTAAAGTCCAAATTGCTTACAGTCCTGTAGGAATTCCTAGGTATCTCTACCCACATGTCACTTTAAACTTAATTCCATGGGATTCTGTTCCTGCCAGTCTCTGTGAAGCTTGTGCCAAAGAACATGCTTTCTATAAACACCAGTAAAAATGTATTCTTCTTACTTTATGCAAACAAATATGCCATCCATCCTTTTGGCTCACTCCATTCTTATGTGAACTCTCTCACTCACTCTTGTATTGGGCACAATGTGAAATATGTATTTCATCATAAAATCACTTAATAAGTAGACAGGACTTTTATTATCTGTTTACAGGATTAAAAATAAAATGAGGATCATTAAGATTAACACCCCAAGAGAATTGCAAATCTTTGAATTTTGCTGTCAGTCAGACTCCTAAGAATTATATTCCAAGTTGTGATAAGTACAAATCGTCCAGATTGCCTTAAACTATTACTGATTTTTGCAGAAAATATGACTCAAGTGCAATAAACAAAGCGAGATTCACTTCTTGGCAAGAAAATACAGCAAGATTTTCTTCTGATTTAGGGAGATTAAAAAAATGCCCAGTTTTTGATCAGTAAGCTGTTTATTGATGTGGGTGTGGGAAAGATTCTTCTACCTATTTATTCTGGAAACATATCAGATGAAAAAAAAAAGCCTTTCAATGAAATGACTATCTCATCAATTGTACTGCTAGCTCACACAAGATTCTTGTAGAGGCAGTAAAATCCTGAACGCCTACACGAAGCTCTCTAAGCATTAAGAAATAGAATGTAATTTCTGGGAGTTCCCTGGTGGTCCAGGGGGGTTAAGAATCTGCCTTCCAAGGCGAGGGACGTGGGTTCGACCCCTTGTCCAGGAACTGAGATCTCACATGCTGTGGGGCAACTAAGCCCGCGAGCTCTGGAGCCCGGGCGCCATGACTAAAGAGAAGCCCACATGCAACAACGAAGAGCCCACGTGCTGCAACGAAGAGTTGACACAGCCAAATAAAGACATAAATAAATAGTTTTTAAAAACACAAAGCAATATAATGTAATTTCTATGAAACAATACTCCTTACCCTTCAATCACAGGATAAACAGAAGCAAAGGGAAATCAGTGCAAGCTCCTAAACTTAATACTAACCCTAGAGTTAATGTTGAGTCTGCAGGTGTAAGGTGATATGGTACCTTGCATGTCTAAGGGAGTCTACAGATCAGCTCTGGTTCCAGACCCCTCCTTTATCACATTTCTTTTGACCTCACCCAACCCAATTAACTCTTTTATATAAGAAAATGATAAAAAGTGGTGTATCTTATCTCTATGATGAGATCCATACACACTCTAATATTAATAAAGCTTTTCTAAATCTGTCCTTTCCTTAGGATTCACTAATCAAGCTTTTCATCCCTCAGTTGACTGCCTTAGATCTATTCAGATCCACACTAGCTGTGGAACCTGTGTAATCCTTCAGGTAGCCCTTAATCCTGAGTCACAGTTAACTCCACTAAAGAGTGAATGGTGGGGTTTGGTTTACAGTTTCTTAACCAACACAAGAGAAATGATTAGGGAAACAGAGTGCACTTCTCCCTTCCTTTGTGTTCAGCAAATCTCAACGATCGATAGCTTCCTTACCAACCTTTTTCAGTGTTTGAGCTTATTACGAAATTCAAGACTACAGTGCATCTATTTCCTGTGTTTGAAAAGCACAGCTTAGAAATAACACCAAATAAAAGTGGAAATAAAATGTTGAACAATGTACCCCACATAAAAACTAACCAAAAGAAAGCTGGAGTATCTATCTAACATGACGTTAGGAAGGATTCCTAGAAATAAAGGAAAACATTTCATAAGAATAAAGGGTCAATTTTATCTAAAAGATATTTAAAAAAATCCAAACTTACATAATCCTAATAACACAGCTCACTAATGTATAAAGCAAAATCTGACAGAACTCAGTAGAAATAGACAATGCCATACCCATAGTGGGAGACTGAAACCCACCCATCTCAAAGACTGATAGAAAAAGCAGATAAAAATCAACGGAGATATAAAAGACTTAAAAAATGTCATTAATATATGTGACCTAATTAGGAACTATACAACACGGCAGTCAGTGATTACCTAAGACATTCTTTTCAATTGCATATATCCTATACTATAAAGCAAGTATCAACAAACTTCAAGGGACAGAAATTGTACAGAATATATTCTGACCTAAGCAGATTTAACAAGAAATCAATAACAAAAAGGCAACTAGTACGTCACTAAATATTTGGAAGTTCAATAATATATTTCAAGGTATCATCTAATTCAAAATTACAATAAAATTACAAAGAATTTTGGCATAAAAGAAAATGAAT